CCCACAGCTGAAAGACTTGCATTCGGTTAAAGCATCTTCCTTTGTGTTTGTAGGTATGTGTGTCTAAATACCCTATATTTTTTCTGCTATAGGATACAGCAAACACTGCCCCCTCAGATTCAGTGCAAAAAAAATAAACGTTTATATTATTCTGAAGTGAACTGTTACTTATTCCATGTATACATCCTTAAAAAAAAGGTAACACAGCAGTACTGCACATGGAGTCTCTAAAAACACAACCAGGGTTTCATTTGCTGTTACTTTGACTGTTATTGTAACACAATTAGGTCAGCTGTTTTCATGCAGACATGTGTGTTTCTGAAACCCTTTTAGTGCATTTATGTCCATATTTGTTTCTTTTTTTCCAAGAAAACACTTTCTTAACTCTTGTGTACATGGGACGTTTAAGGAACACTATTACATACTTCAGATCTTTAGTGACCCAACATATATAGGCTACCGCATAGTTTTTTTTATTGAATATGTCTTCCGCAAACATTATGAACAGTTTCTAAACAAATGTAACTTTATACATCGCAAGCACTGGTCCTCAGGCAAGCCAGAAGTTGCTGTTTTCACAAGGAGCATGCTAAAACTTAATTCCTTAATTTCTAAGGGGAACAATCATTTGAAAAATTAACATAGAAATGTTAAACTTTCAAACAAGTTTGAACCATTTTCCAATCGAAATAAAGTACAAATAATAATACTGTATAATGTTTCATAAAAGCTGCCAGGCAAAATATGCCTTCCAGTTTGTTTACTTGTATAGAAAGCACACATCACTCAAAAGTGTCCAGTAATCAAAATCTATTGTCATTCTTAATATGTACAAAACAAGCTAAATTGGGCAAATATCGCAAAAAAGTACCACTACATAATGTTCAATTCACACCTTGCACTTTAGCGACAAAGAGTGGGACTGGGGGTAACAAAAGTATATAAAAAATTACAGGTCAATAGGGAGCACGAGGGTTCAGCACGAGGGAGACGAAATAATGAGGGGGAAAAACACTAGCTGTTTAATGTTAAAGCGCTGTTTACAAATGCAGCACTTAAAAGGCGCTTTTTACCACAATACGGTACTTTTTGGCAAATAAATTACCACAAAATTATTTAAGCTATTTTGTCATAAATTTGGTAGTAAATTCACACTGAACCTTGTGACCCGAGAAGAGCTGTAAACTGACATTTTAATCAGGTGTATTAACATGGTAGCAGTGCAGCTATCAGTAATCATGAAGCCATTGATAACCAGAACGTTGTAACGTTCCCTGCGTCAACTGACAAAGTCACAAACACATTAGCTGCTAAGCTACCGTCGGTCATAACTATTAAATACTATAAACATTAACAGCTAACGCTAAATAATATTTGGTATATTAATAACAGCTAATGTATTAAATGATTTTTTAAAAATCTGTTATTTTATTAACACACCGCCCAAAGTGCTTGGTAAGCAATGGAAACGAACGCGATTCGCTGCCGTGAACATCAAGGTTTGGAACTATTCACCGTCCCCATGAACCGGAAGATTGCCGGAAATTCCTCGGCCTTTTTTCTACCGCTCTGCTACACGTAATGGATCGTAAGCACCCTGTGCGACAGTAATCATCCTCCATGTGAATGTGAAACACGGCGATCACTGAGCAGTACATGGTCCTGTGGATTAAACGTAGCATCGAAGCAAAGAATTAGCATCGAGGATTTTTTTTGTAATCGAGTTATTCGAGTTACTCGATGAATAGTTTCAGCCTTAATACAGTGATATGAATTATCACTGTCTCTTTTGCACTAACCCCAAAACCTGATTAAGTTAGAATAAAAATAATGATGTAGGTCTTAGAGAAATGCAAAAACAAATAGGTAATTTTAATGGATAAATTACATTTGATCACAAAAAAGGGCCACAGGGGCTACTTTCACTCATATCATAAGTCTCTGGGAAATATCTAAAAAGACGACAGTTACTTAATTGGAAGTAACAGGTGTTAAGTAATAGCATCAAATAATACAAATAAACCCAGAATAGCATCTTCCATTTCTCCATAGGAAAATCATATAGTCAATGTTAAACTTAGAATTACTGTAATAAAATATGGAAGATTTTTTTTGACATATCGCCAAATATGAGGAGGCAATAATATGCTATAAAAAGAAGACAATGACTGCTGTAACACATGCAAACCTGTTGTGCTTTTCGACATTTGCTTTTATGCATAGCATGCCTCAAAAGACAGTAATGAAAGCAACAAAAAGATGCATGCCAGACCGTTTTTCACATTTAATGCTAGACATCTGTATATAGCTTCAGCTTCTGAGACCCAGCAGGTCATTCGTAGATTATACTTCAAGCGCAGTTATACCTCAGAGACCTCATATTGCTTTTGTCCTGAGGCAATCCCAGCTGCTGCAACTGGCAAATTAGGTAAGAAGGAGTGGTATGCATTCTACAGTACCATGCGATGCATACAGAAGCAGCTCACCTGCTTTAGCAATGTATACAGCAATATTACAGTATGTGCAACAAAAACATTCATCCCCAGCCCTAATACATAAGTATCAGAAAAGCTCTCAACTTCCCCTGAAGACATATCAAAGGTAAACTCATATGTCCAAATCATTGTTTATAACTATAAATACAGAAATGTGAAAAACAAGGTAGCACCCATCTTCTTCCAAGATCTGATGTTTTTTCTATGTAATCCAATAAGCTTAGAACATATCAGTATGAAGAAGAGCCAATATTTATATTTTCCCCCCAGACTAAACAAGAGTATGTTGCTAAAAGTCCACACATTATTCATAATAAAGCAGTTACTGGGCTAGAGGCAAAGTTCATCGTTGTAAATAACTGCAATAGCTCTATATCAGTTATTTGCCCTAAATGCAACAACTTATATCATTTACAAACAAAACTAAATATCTAATCACCTGCATTCCAATATGTGCTTGCACAAGTGTAAAAATGCAAGACAAACTGCATTCTTATAACCCTGAATCTATACAGAACGTTACATAAAAATAAATCAGCGTCAGCTGTTTCATGTTCAAATGTTTGGAACAGTCTCAAATCATCTCACAAAAGTAGCAAGACATGACATTTGAATAGTGAATTAAACATTTGATTTAAAGCACAGTGATGGTAAAATAACTTTGGTTCAACTAATGACACAGCTTTTAAGGGTATATAAAAGACAAGATCTACTGTGATTGTTACGGTATTAGAATTTAATAGTGAGGTACAATAAAATAGGCGGAGTGGTGGCTCTGAGGCTAGGGATCTGTGCTGGCAATCGGAAGGTTGCTGACTTGAATCCCCGTAATCCTGCTCTGTTGAGCCCTTGAGCACAGCCCTTAACCCTTATTTTAGCATAACTAGAATCATGATTAAATAATTCTTTTCTCCATTCTCACAAGTGTTTCAAGGTATACTGTCTGAAATGACAGACTGCCTGGCAAAGGATAATAACCAATCCATGCAAACTTTTATAGCCAAAAAGAGGATTTAAAAGGAATTCGGAAATGCAACTCTGCTGAATATCTCTGTGATGGACTCGACTAGGTGCCTTGCTTATTCATGGAAATCCTTTAATGTTGCCTTTATTTATTCATACACAATAACATTATGACATTGTTAGAACACATAACAGGGCACATCCAGCAGCATTTTAGAAAACAGGAAAGAATTCCTGCTCTCAGTTATCCAAAATAATTATTATGATTGAATTTCAAATTAAAATTGTTGAGTATTCTTTTTATGTTTTATTTAACGTAGTGAAAAAAATAACTAAATATGCTTGATATTTGGAAATGGCTTTTGAAATTCATATCAGTGAAACTGTTCAATATGGCACTGCAATATTTCTGTGATTAAAGATAACTGTGACAGAATTGACTTTTTCTACACCTCGCAGAGAAGCACTACCTTATTCAGATCAGACATTCCTTTTTTTCTGCTCTCTTTCATACTCCCACCTGCTAACACACACAGATGCACATACAACGGGATGAAAAATGAAAAAGTCCATTTTTCCCCTTGGCATGGGTACGGTACCAGCTGGGTCATTTTTGCCATAGGTGGAAACCAATCAAATGAGCAACTCTGACCTCCTGGACAGAAAGGGAAAAAAATAAAAACATGTTCTGTCAATCAAAGTAGTATATACAAGGTGACCTTTGTCCTAAAACTAACTAACTAAAGGTGACTCATAGTTCTTTCACTACTGATGACATTAAGGTAGATGAATGACTGCACTACACATTTGAGATACTGGAGCAGTAAAGAACAGCATACCTCAGACACACCTGCATAGCAATGTTTTCATATACAACAATCATTTTCTTTTATAAATTGTTTCATGATTCTGATTTCATTATTCGTGATTTCTGAAACATTTCATTTCACTGTGGTTAAATTACCAAAAAATGCTTACAGTCACTGGGTATCTCTAACAATTGATGTGTAATTTAACCTCTGTAATTAAATATTCAGTTTCAGTGTTACCAAAACAGGTGCATCAGGCCAGCAGGGATTCCTAGTAATTTTATATTGAGGAATAAACTAGAAACACGTATTCAATAGAAAAAAAAAATAGAAGAAAAAAATTACCTAAAAAGGTAAAAGAGCCCCACTTTCATCCTTCACTACATTATTATATTTTGAATAGTATCCCCTGATATGACAAAGGAGCAGGAACCTTCCCGTCTTGTTGGGACGAGCACCTGTCATGTTTACCCTAAGAATACACATGACCTTAGCGCACAAAGACTGCATGAAAGACACAAGAAATAGAGTGCTTCGCTCACTTGTTCTCTTTTTGATGTAACGAATATCATTAATGGAAAAAACACTCTTTCACAAAGGGAAGGTGCTTTGCAACACAAATAGGTTACATAAGTAGCAGGTTACACAGAAGCGAACTTCTACCATTCAAACACTATTAGATTTATTACAGGAGGAAAAAAGAGCAAGGAAGAGTGGCAATGTAAACAATTACCTTGAAGTTCTGTATTTGAATTGAATCCTCGCACTTCTCCCATACTTAATATTTTCCTTGGAGACCACTGACAACGGTCAGCAGTATAATGAGTCCCTTAACATTACCTTCTTATCTCTTCACACAGCACAGTAACTTCCTTATGTACTGTATACACTTAGAGTATGTGGCTTCCTGGATCACCTGAACTTATCAGACCTGTTCTGCTGTTTATTTACATCACTTCCTCTCCGGCTGTGTACTTGATAGACCTGCTCAGCTAAAACTAAACAAAACCAAGAATGAAGTCTTCCGTACCCGGTGTGTGTGTGCGGGGGGGTATTTGTTTCAAGTAAAACAACTCATTATGCATTACCCATCATCTTCTGCTCTACATTAATTAAAAGAAAGAAAGAATAATCAGAAAATCAGAAGCAACAAAATAGTTCCACAGGTGGGAAAAAAGCATTTTCAGATCATTCTCAAAAGATCAAAATGATAAAACAGTACTACTTATTTATTGCTTACGGTCTATTGTACAATAATGGAGCAACAATTATTTAGTCAAAGTGTTCATTAAATCATAGTATGCTTCAAATTAGATTAATTGATTCCAAATATGAGAATATTGGACATATGTAGACGTATGTATCCATCAGTGATGCATATGCAGTAGCTTCTACCACACTCACATAAATATAAAAAATAAAATATAAAAATGATTAAAACTGTATCTAAAACAGTTTCCCTTACAAGTGAGTAAATGAAGGTACATATTCAGATGCAAAATTTTACCACCCATGCAGATTGCGTAAAAAATGTATTTAATCTTCACCCTCTGGGGTCGAGGGCATTGTCGGCAATGCCGCGTATCTTTTTTGTGTATTTCAGTTCATAACTCGCTGAAATCTTATTGTAGAAACCTGAAAAAACCGCTGACTAAATCCGTAATCTGTCTTCATTTCAAAACATCCATTGTCGGAAATATTGAAGTTTTTAAAATTAGGTTAAATAGGCAAAAAAGTAAACCATGTAAACATTTTAATAACAATTTGCTGATATAACATGATTTTATGTTACATTACCATATAGACACCAGTAATGAACTATTCTGCAGTCTTCCAGACAGACTGCAACACACCCTGAACATTTAATGCATGATGCCTTCTAACAAACCTCCCACACTCTAGGAACTGCATTAGATCCCTTCAGAAGAGATAATTAACTGCAAGTTCTATAATGTTGACATCCAGTATATCAAGCAGTGTAGCCCCATGTCCTTGTAGGTCTGCATCTTTTCACGACTTGTAAACCTATCAATGGGATGGCTTGTCCTACCTTAAACTTTGTCTTTTATTCAAATTGCAGCTGAATAAGAAATGTTCTTTTCATCTTTCAATGAAATTTCTTGAAACTGCCCTTAATTTCTGTTTTCCTGATTAAAATGTTTTCATCGTTTCACTTGTAAAAAACGTAGGAGATACAATTGTCAGTTAATTTTACGTATACCACGTACATCAAATTCTTCTACAACTGCACAGATAGTGCGTGCCAGGCGAATATCAGCAGTAAATCAAATGCACAATTATAATATTTATTCTAACTAACGTGATTTAACAGAAATTATAAAAGAAAAAAAATTGATATAAATTACCTAAAAAACATCATAGTTTCCGGCTGAGGACCAGGACTTGTGATCAGTGATAAAATACCAAAATAATTTACTGATGTAATGCACGTGTAATCCGGACATACATTACAGTCTTGGCTAACTTGTCTAAACAAGATGGTACACAAAATGTTTAATAGTAGTAGGCTTTGGTGGTATCTAATGCTACATATGATCCAGACATTACAATAAATATTTTGATGGTATTTTAAGAAGCAAATATTTTAGTATTCTGAAATCTTGGCGATAAAAATCCCCGAGCAGTTGTGCTGAAAGGAACATTAAAAGTATTCAGGTCATAAAAGTAAAGTCAACAACAGAGTGCTAATTGTGTATACTAGTATTAAGGTATCGTACATTGTGAATACAGGGCAAATATAAACTCCAAACGAAGTAAAGTGCAGTAAATACTGTCCTTAACCCACCACATTGTAATGTATAATATAGTGTTGGGTAATTTTATCCATTCATCCATTTTCTGTACCCGCTTGTCTAATTCAGGGTCACAGGGTCCTCTACCAGTAGCTATGGGCGCAAGGCAGGGAACGATCCAAGAGGAAGCGCCAGCTTACCACAGGACACACTCACGCACCATTCATTCACACATGCACAACTACGGGCAATTTGGTAACTCCAATTCACCTTAGCATGTTTTCAGGGGGGAAACCGGAGTACCCAGAGGAAACCCAACGATGACACCGGCAGAACATGCAAGAGAACATGCAAACTCCACACACAGGGAGCCATGGCGGAGACTCGACCGCTGGTCCCAGAGGTGTGAGGCAACAGCACTAACTACTGTGTCACCACACCATTTGCCAAATGGACTATGCAAAACAAACTTCACAGCATTTTTTCACAGTATGCTTACATACATTCGGTGAATATTATGCTTACATGGCATCCATCTGTACTCTACGCAGAAATTTAATCAGATAAGCTCTTATAACTTCATTAGTCATGCCAAAATCTGATGCTGTAAACTCGGGTTGCCCAACCTTTTTTACAGGAAGAGCTACTTTTACAAAAAAAATAAACTAAAATACTCTGATGACCTAAATCGTGGTATTTTGCTGCCAACCGACAGGTTGGGTACCCCTGCTGTAAACCATGGGTTACAAGTATAATACACAGAATACTGCACCGCTCACTGCTGTCTGGATGGGTCACAATGTATTTACATGATTACACCCCTAGTAATTATGTATCGCAAGGTGCTCAACCCTTGTCCTGGGGCACCACTATGTGTGTTGGTATTCATTCCAGCTGAGCTGTCTGCCAAATCCAGGATTGAGAAACTCTAATATTTATTATATATATAGCACATGTTCCCCAGGACAAGTGATCTTCTGCTTATCCAAGGACCTCTGTGCTCACTGAAATATGCCACATTTCCACCAGTCACCAACTCTGGTCAGCTGGCTGGCATGAGATTTTCAATTCGAGACAAGTCCACACACGCATTTACACGTATGTAACAGTTTTATTAACTTGAAAACAGTCTGTAGGGTTTGCAAACTACCCCAATGGCTTTTAATGAAGCTGATTTTAGTTTAATAATGAAACTACATACATTTGTCATAAGATTTTTTGCGGGAGCGTGAGTCAGAAAGCGTGAGTGTCACGCCAGATGCATGAGAGTTGGCAGCTCTGAATTTGCAGTGTGATCTGCAGCTTTTACAAACGCCTGGCCTGCTCAGTTCATTACGCAGGTCTTCCTCTCCCCATATGTGTGACTGCCATATGTATAGCAAGATGTCTGTTTACCTTGCCGTGATCATTACTTGGATGAAGTGTTTTGTATGGAACATCACCCAATGCTGAGCAGTGAAAATCTGACATCGTGTTCCTGCTGTGAGATACAACTTTACCTCCCTGTCTGTTGACTCCTCCATACCTGTTGACACTGTCATTACCACCCCTTCCCAATCTGTCAGTCTTGTTCCTGTGTTTACTCCACCTCTGTCACTTTTCCAACACTATCAATATCTCCAGTATAACCTGCTTCAGGCACAACTTCCTTCACAACTATTACAAAATAAAAATGTCCCGTTCCAGTAGCTCAATGCAGCCGATACTGTACTCGAAACACTCTCCAGAGCCAACATCTGACCTGCAAACACCATGGTGTTAAAATATAGACACGTAGCTTGAAAATTATCAACTCAAGTCGTTTGACTGACATTGCTACTACATTTTGCATTGATGAAGTAAAAAAAAAAAAATGATGATTGAAAATATTTTTTTCATTTAATATTCTGGTGCATAATTTGATAAAAGCATAGGCATTCAGTTATGGAGGTTAATAATAATAATAATAATAATAATAATACAATAATTGCTGTTGTTGTTGCCATCATTATAATAATAATTAATAATAATAATAATTATTATTATTAGTTCATTGTACAGGTATACTGTTAGAATGGCTATGCCCTTGAATAGGTAAACAATGAAAATAGATACTGTTTCCTTAGAATCTCATTAAAATCTAATAACAGAGTTTGTTCAGCACATGAAAAGCTAAGCCGTAACAAAAAAATGGCATGTTCCTGAAAAAGGCACTGATAGCTATTGCAAGTGATAGGAAATCATGGGAATGCCATATGATGCCTTGTAAGTCTGTCTCATTAAGAGTATTAAGAAATCAATTTAAAGCAGCATTAGCTCTTACCTGAAATAACTGGTTGGATGCATGGAGGGGTGAGATAAAACAGAGAACAAAAAGCTTTTTACTATTAACCAAAGAAACAACCTACTATGGAAATTACTATGCAAAAGTGGATGAATTTCCGACATGTGATTTCTCCAATGACAAAAATTTCCAGACAACTACAAATTATAATACATATGCCATATTTCCTGAAATAGTGGCTGGAAACTTTATTTACCTAAGCCACGGAAGCAACAGGCCTTTATTTGAGGCAGGCTTGTATTAGAGGCAGGCCTTCATTACTAATTCCCTCTGGTACTGTATTATGCTGTTAATACAAATTCTATGTATAAATGAATAAAACACCACCAGTGTGTCTCAGTTTGAACCATGTAAAAAATACCAGGTACATTTATTGATAATATTCGTATATATTCATATAACAGTAGATTACATTAATCCAAGGCCGCTGCAGTTTTAAAAGCTGGCTAACAGTACTAGTAACTGCCTTCTAAACGTAAGTCAACTTTTCATCAATGCCATGTAAATCATGCACATTATCAGTTTGTTTGTAGTATGGCCAGTAATGTAGCAGAGTTTACCGTAAATCTGCCCAGATGTCACCACATAAAAACAAAACACTTCATGGGTGTCTACTCATAATTCATATTCATAATGCATAATAAACATGGCTATAATGTTAATATTATGCCTTTTTATAAATAGGTATAACTGTTTATATTACTTTAGGAATGCATTATGAAGGTATATATAATGAAAAAGTGAAGCGTAACCATTCATTGTTTCATGTGAAGCATTCTGTTAGCATGCCTAACCCTAAGATTAACCC